ACGTATAACACCCCCCCACACACACACACACACTGCTCACCAGGGTGACAAACAACAGAAACATGGACGAAGGGAGACAGCAGACGGTGTAATATATCAAAATAGCAAGTGTTCATGAAGGTGGTGGAGGGAGGTAATAAAAGAGGAGCTGATACCAAGGGCTCAAGTAAAAAGAAAATGTTTTGATTAATGATGATGACAACATAAGTAAAAATATGCTTGATACAGTGGATGTATGGATTGTTATAAGAACTGTAAGAGCCCCCAATAAAATGATTTATTAACATAAAATAAAAATAATAATGTTACATTATGCCATGATTATTTATTAGGTTTGCAGTCTGACTATCAAAGTAAGGTGATTAGTGAAATATACTTGGATCTCCTGGCTAGGTTGAGGCTTGAATGCTGTAGGAATATATACCACATATCCTCATGTATAAGCCAATTTTCCAGCACATTTTTAATGCAGTTTTTGTGGTAAAATTAGGTGCCTCGGCTGATATTCAGGTTGGCTTATACTTGAGAATATATGGTAAGAGCATATGTGTAGGATTCAGTTGGCCTGAATGCTCCTGTGCTTTTGCCAGTTGTTGCCAGTAGAGGTTGCTTTGAAGCATGGTGTTCCAGGCATAGTCTGAGGATGAGGGAGAATATTTTATTTGTTAATGATCAAAGGAGAAAATGAATAGAAGGAAGTTACTAACGATAATACCAACATGGACAGTTTTATGTACAGCACTGAGAATTACATAGGAGTCCCATAATTGGGCCTGCCTCTCTCACTGACTTGAGAGTTGTTGGATGTTTCAGCCTCTTATTATATTTTTATCTATTTGGCAGAAGCAAAAATAACATACAGAAGAGGACATAAATCCCTTCAGTGTCTGTTCCATCTTGTCTTAACCATGGCCTAGGACAGAGCAGAGGAAGCCTGTATCTACCAGTACTTCTGAAATTCCACCATTGCTTTGGGATACTGAGTCCCCTCATTTGTCAGAAGACTCGGTTCCTTCAGGAAGCCAGCTCTTTTCCTGCACCTTTTGAACAAAGTTTAATTAGCATTGATAACTGATCTGGGAGAGGATTGTGGGTGGGTCTGTATAAGAGTGGGAGTGTTTGTTTGATTTTTTCATATTTAGGAGAAACCTATTCACTGGTAAGTTAGAACCTTGGAATCTGGTTGCAGAAATGAGTGTGGCATCTGGTTATTTAAATGAAAACACATCCAAGAGAAGAAACTACCTTAATCCTTCTCAAGTACTTGAATTTCATGTAGTAGTTTAAGCAGAATTGAAAGGCTAGCAGGCAATCACATGGGCGCAGGAGTAAAGGTAAATTAAACACCTCCTCATTGGAACAAGAACTCTCCCTTGTGACATTAGAGCATGTCTCTCTCAGGTAACAGGCTTAGTACTAAGACAATCCTCTATTCAGTAGGACAGAGAAGAATGTTTTGTTTATTTTCAATTTTCCCTGCTATGAATGCCAACTATTAGGAGGTTGAAGATAGTTATAACTATAACTTCCCATCACTTGCCTTTGTAGTTAATACAAATACAGAGAGCATTTCCAATTACATAGGACTTATGTAATTGCATTTTATGTCAAATTCCCAAAGCTCAATGCTTGGCTAAAGCATTAGCAAATGCTGTCTGTTTAGTGGACTCAGCCGACCTCGCCACCTTCAGATTAGCAGGAAACTTATTCGAATGACTTTTAAAAGTTTATGGGGAAAATTGCCGTCTTTTCGTTCTATTTTTTCCATGAACTTTTTGAAAGCTGCTTGTGTAGTCACTTCAGCTTGCCATCAAATCCGTATAGTTACTTCAATAGAAAGACTGTGACCAGAAACCACTGGGAGAATGTCAATCTTAAAACTGTTTCTTCTTTAGGATGGGAGTTGCGTTTGTTTAAGATACTTCTACTTTGTCCCAATCTTGTTCTCGGAGTCCATGCAATGTATGTGTTCAGAACCTGTGTTTTGATTTCTATGGTCAAATGACTTTAACCTCTGCGATTGTTCAGATAACAGCATTTTTCAGAATTTACTCTTTGACTTTGAAGTGTATATCATCTCTGTGTTTTGTATAGCATTTTTTCCCTAAGAATCAAATGTGTAGATAGTGAGTAGCCATGCTTTTTATTGACAATTATATTGATTTGTTCGGAGTTGAAATTCACCTCTACAGGTACATATCCATGCCAGATCTTGAACTAGGTGTTGGATACTGGCACCCAGCCCCAAATAGTCCTCAAGAAAGTTTGGTTCCATTTTCTTTAAAAACTGCTCAGAATTTTAGGAAATGCCAGTTTAAATGACGTTAACAAATTGCCTTTCCATAGGACTTTTAAGAGCCTTACGTTTATTAATATGCATTGAGATGTTTTTAAAGATAGGTATATATTTCATGACTCTTAGGGAAACTTCTCGCAGTAGAGCATTTTGCAGGAGAAATGATTCTTTGGACACACAATGGGAACTATAGGAATAAAACAATGGCTAAAAACACAAGCCATCAACTCTTTCAAATGAATAAAAAATGAGTGGCATTCTTGATTTTGATGATTGTTGAGGAGGAAAAGAAATGTAGTACCAAATGAATGAAAGACTGTACACTTTTAAATTCCAGAGTTCAGGGTATAGCTGTGTCAGAGGTAGGGGTGTGTGTGTGTGTGTGTGTGTGTGTGTATGAAAGACTGTACACTTTTGAATTCCAAAGTTCAGGGTATAGCTCTGTCAGAGGTAGGGGTGTGTGTGTGTGTGTGTGTGTGTGTGTGTGTGTGTGTGTGTGTGCAGGAGCCCTGGTGGTATTGTGGGCTATTTGGCTGCTAACTGCAAGGTCAGTAGTTCAAATCCACCAGCCCTTTATGAGAAAGATGAGGCTTTCTACTCCTGTAAAAAGTTCCAGTCTTGGAAACCCGCAAGGGCAGTTCTACCCTATTCTATAGGGTGAGTATGAATCAGAATCAACTCAATGGCAGTGAGTTAAATGGGAGAGATTATTCTCTTTTGCAAATATAGTTTTCCTCTACAAAACCAGGAACTGGACCAACAGATATCTGGGGTTTTCTCTACATTTGGCATTCTTTTATTCTAGGTGTGTCTCATTTTAACAAGGCTTGTGTACAGAATCCAGAGTTTTTAAGTCCTTTTTGGGACAATGGTTTGCTTTGAAAAAATAATACATCACTTTAAGGAATGCAGCAAGAGTTCCTTTTAAGGCTAAGTGCTGCCTGTTTTTTTCTCAAGTTGATTCATATGTAATTCATATGTTCTTGCTATCCTATCATTGATATTGATTAGTACTACCCATGAAAACTTCTTCCTCTGAAAGTCAAGCATAATTATGTATATATTTCATTGAAAGCACTTTCTAGCTAATATTTAAAAGTATACACTAATGCTTATAAAGATAAAATACATTCTAAGTCCTAGTGGTGCAGTGGTAAAGCATTCAGGTGCTAACCAAAATGTCAGAGGTTTGAACCTTTTCGTTGTTCCTGGTGGAAGAGATGTGATAGTCTGCTTTCATAAATCTTTACTTCCTTGGAAACCCTGTGGAGCAGTTCTACTCGGTCCTCTAGAATCACTATTAATTGGAATCGATGTATGCTAACCTTTTGGTAATTGAGGTTTGTTGTGACTTGTAATTTACACCATACTTAGATTTTATACCATACTTAGATATTGTAGAAAAGGTGAGTTGCTTATGGTATAAAATGGTTTCTTAAGATAGCTTTAAACAATCCAGAGGATACAGAAGTTGGTGGGGGGGGGGCGGAGGAAGTGGG